GAAGGAGTGTGTGTGATCACAATTTCATGTAACTCTGTACTGACCGATTCCAGTTCTTTTAGCTGGGTTTGTTGATTTGATTTGATTTTGATCTTGCAAAAGCCATGCAGACCATGTGTTAGCAAGAGTCCTCGGCCAAAACCTTATTGCTGTGTTTCGGAACTTCAGAGGGATGAACCCTTTTAAAAGTTTCAAGGGTCAGGCAGACCCACATCAAAATTCAAAATAAACTAATGATTTGTCTCTCTAGGAGTAAAAATCTATATTGTTCGAGGAGTACAATTTTGGGTTGGAAGTAGAGTTCATCTCCCAGAGAGTACAGTTTCTGTAGGAAAATAATATTCCTGTGAAAACCACTCGAGGGCGAGAACATGTGAAACCCATCCATTCCTTTTGGCTACATTTTTATTGAATGAAGGCATATCACCAACATACTAGTTGTCGGGCCATACCAGAAGTGGCAGGCCAGCAACTTTATCAGGCAACCAAACTGATGTCTGATGAAAAGCGCCTACAAGTTTAGGATTAAGCACTTCCCATTGATGAAGGTAACCGTTTCTCAAAACCCGTCCCTGAAAACAAAAATCATTAAAGTGTCCGCAAACTCCACAAGGAAGCCGCTGCGGCCAAGTTTAAACCAGGTTTACTTTTCTGTAATAAACAACATGTAAGGCACAAATATCTCCAAAACAGGTAGGCATATCAACTCGAAAGAAATCTGAAACAAAATTCCAGACATGGTTGGCATTCCTTTTGTATTTCCGTGGGATACCCTCCTGTTTTCCTGTGATCCGAGCGTGACATTTCACGCATGGCCACTCAAAAAGACGGAAATAGAATTGGATCCGATCAAAAAGTTGCGTGGGTCTCTTCTCTTACCCTGTTGCGCCGGAAGCAGGAGACCGAGGACGCGTCTCATCGGCGAGCACCCTTCGTTCAGACTTGAGAGTACAGTCAACGCCTCGTTTTCTTTTCTTCCCAGCCCAACACAACACCAGATTCCGACTCCATTGTCTTCCCAGTAGTGACCAAAGCGGATCTCGCTCTCGCAGAACCGATGCCACCGCCCGGCCGAATACACGCGAGGAACTACTCACCGGGGCTCTTTTGCATGTGGCATGGCAGCTGCCTCAATGATTCTTGGCGGAAGCAACCTTTTGGTGGACGGCATCGACTCCCGTTTTTTGAAATGATTCAAAAATCATATTTCCAAGTTTCAAAAAAAACTGTGACAACTCATACTCCCTCCGTTCCTAAATATAAGTTGTTTCAGATATTCTATTATGAACTACATACGAAGCAAAATGAGTGAATCTATACTCTAAAATATGTCTATATACATCAGTATGTAGTTTGTAGTGAAATCTTTAAAAAGACTTGTATTTAGGAACGGAGGGAGTACATATTCATGATGGGTCTGTGTATTTTCTTCTAAATATATTATGATCTGCAAGCTGCACAAAAAAAATCCCGTCCAAACAATAAAAAAGATTGGCCCATTTTCATGTACATATTTGTTTTTTTTGTCTACATCACGTATGAAAGTATATTGTTATGAAAAGTTTCTTGAATGTGCTATGTGTGTAGAAATTTTTTCGTTTTTTTTTTGCCTGGTGGAAAAATGATTTTGGTTAAAAGTCCACACCTCGGGCGCATTTACACGTGCGAAGGAACGTCGCGTGTGTCTTTTCTTCCTTCACGTATAATAAGTATATGTAAAGGCGAAAGGAGCGTCTCGTGCGCGTAGCGCCGGTGATCCTCTCCCTTGTCAGCTCTCCATTCGAGCATATATCGTGGCACTGTTGGAGAGCCACGGCCGTGAAAGGCGAAAGAGAGGGATGGACAGGGCAGATCGCAACGCCGCACAAAAGGTTGGCACGCGCCGGCGTCGGCACCGTACGTGCGTGCGCGGACGCTGAGCACGTCGCGTCGCGTCGCCCGGAGTCACATCCCGGCACGTGGGTCGCCGCCGCGCCATATGCCGTCGCGGCGGCAACGACGCGTACCGCGGTGCGCGCCCGGCGGCGGCGCGTTAGTTTTCTGTTGTGCCCTGTGGACGACGACCACGGACGCATGTTGCCCGCCTTGGCCTGGTTCGATCGTGCGCGGAGCCACGGATACTAGTAGACTTTTTTTTTTTGAGCTGTAGTAGCCTAGGAGTACTATTATCACGCAAAAGATCGATGGGTTTACCCGCCCCCACGTGATGGGCTCGCTCGCTCGCCCTCCACTCATCCGCGTGGTGAGCGTGCCGGGAGATCTGATCTGGGTCGCTTTGGCAGGCAGGTAGGCACGCACATGCACGACACGGGCTTAACGAAAGGCTCCATCGGTTGAGCTTTCTGATGACCTCGCACCAAACCCCGGCCTATATAACTCGTCCCATCTTCGCAAACCAGCACATGTTTCAGAACATCAGCTGTGGTGGTGAGTGGTGACACCGATCGGAGGCCGTCCTGCTGATCACGACGCTAGACTTTGGCCATGAAAATACATAGCTCATGTGCTGCACGGCGTAGGCGGGCATATGTGTCGATGTCTTGTGGCGTCGCCGGGCCTTTGCCATCTATCATGGGGCGGTAAGCTGCTTTGTCTCGTCCCAATAATTGATTTCCTCTGGGCGGATGGTGGCTAGCGAGGAAAATGGCGACTCGCGCCGTGGAGGTCTCACGTTCTTTGCCCCGCGCACCACATGACCTCGTTGCTAGAGACTTGTCCAAAAGATTTGTGCTCCTGATTTTCGGATGGCTACTTGCGAGATTTTTCCTTTCCTTTCCCTACAAAGTGAAAGCGAGTTGGATATGCGACGTGCCGTAACAGAGCATTGGAGAAGTTGACGTATCATTTCTTTCTTTTGGAATCAATATGGTAGAAATGTCATGGAAGAACAGGGATTCAGGTTTGCATCCACAGCTTTAGCCGAGGGAGAAACCCAACCCAATGCTCTTATATTTCTTTACGGAGAGAGTAGTAGATATTCACGCATGATCAAGGAAGATATAGGAGCAAACATCATGGCAGCAACGTTTGTCCGTTTGGCAAGTAAACCTACATGGGTGGATTTTGGAACAAAATGATTGTGCCCACACTGTTTTTCTACTTCCCAAATGATTTACCGGCTTCGAGTTGTCGGGGTTGAGGAGATTTTAGAAAACTAATGGATAAGGATCTCATTTGATTTCAGTTTTGACAAGAGAAGGCGCCTTGTGTTTACGTAGTGTTGAGGTTACATCCAAGGACCAAGGCTGACTGGTAGCATATCGATCATATAGAATCAACAGTTGACACTACTAAGCACACCTAAAAAGGTTTGGGAGCACAATGATCATGGCTACACTGTTTTCCTACTCCCCAGTTGATTTTCCGGCTTTCAGTCGAGCAAAAAGCAGAGAGAAAAACAATGGATAAGGGTCTCGTGTCGCATCGACAAGAAAAGGTTGGCATGTGTTTGCGTAGTGTTAAGGCTGACTTGAAAGATGCTGAGGATAGATTAATGGTTGACACTGCCAAACTACCAAGTAAACCAGAAAGGGTTTAGGAACAAAACCTACTCCGCGACCGATTCATTGGCTTGGAGTTGAGGGGAAAAAAGCAGAGAATTCTGGATAATAGTCCACTGCACATGGACAAGAACTGTGGCTTGTGTTTATCTAGACTTGGGTTACATCAGGTCTGACTTCATAAGATGCTTAAGGATATGTGATGAATATTTAGTACTCCCAGTAAAGTGAGGGAGTAGTGACCGTTGAATTAGCACCAACTGGGCAATGCTTCAACAGAAGCTGAAGAAACCTTTTTGCGCACAAATATCTGGCTTTGATTGAAGTTGTGGGTATTTTTGGAACCAGGATAAGAGTCAGATTAGTCATAACAAGCTAGAATCCAGTGATAACCAGCCCCACAGAGAAGACAGAGATCTAAAAATCATCAGCACACACCTTGTCTAGCCAATTATTTTGGAACATAAGCGTACATGTTACTATGTCAGTAAGTAAAACCATTACCTTTTTCCTCTTGCCTTGTGGAAGGTGCAACTCTGCCAATTGGGAGCTTTGAGCTTTTGACGCCTCCAGGGATGTACACAGGAGAAGGATGAAAAGGCAAATCCCTATCTGACAGTAGATGTCATGCAGATCTACACGAAACAAGGACCAAGGACCACTCTTGAGATCAAATCATTAGTAGGTCATGTCCTTATCATGTGCCAATACACAGGCAGAGGGCATTTATTTGCTATGGTGGTAGCAACAGAGCAGTCATAATCAAAGTAGCATGATCATGGCAAATGAACAGGCAAGAAAGCAAGGAGAACGTGATAACAAATTGATGCTGACTGAATTTCATCATCCAATATCTTCTTGATTAATAACAGCAGAAGGTTGTGACCAGGAAAAGTGATAGTGGTCTACATTGATCTACAAAAATAAGTTGTGGAAACTATAAAAAAAATGGGAAGAGAAAATTTATCGTCGCTGGGATAATCTAAAATACAAGGCAAAAAAGTTGATGGAACATTCCAACATAGATAATGCCGTTCCTTCGTCTGAGCAGATAGATTGAACAGTACATGGCAAAACACCAAAGGCTGGAGACTTGAGGGCAAAAGGAACCATGTAAAATCTGCTGCCGAATTGGAGCCGACCTTCAGCAAGTCTCTGTGCAATCATTAATCGGTTCCGACAACTCAACTATGATACAACAAAGGCATCGGTCTGGTGCTGGCCAGAAAAATAACTCATATTCCATTGAGAATAAGGTGAGATGCCTCACCAAGATACATACATCAAAGAAACCTCGTACAGGTTCAAGTCTCGACTCAATCAGCCCAGAAAAGAATAATTGATGATCTGCTTAATTAAATGATGCATTCATATTTCCCGCAAAATCATCCGCAGGGAACTTCCTCTCTGGCTCTGGCATACTTGAACAGGAATACAACAGCAGTGATCAGGAATAGTAGAACAAACATGACCATACAACAAACTTCTTCAATGGCAGTACTACAAGATGTTGACAAATGATGGAGCATCTTCCCTTGGTCCTGCCAACGATCGATACAGGTACAGCTTATCAACGGTATCCATTTCCCCTTCATTTTCCTTCATTACTTCAACCACCAGATTAGGCATTTGCTGAGCTACATCCCCACAACCCTTCACAGTTAGCCTGCATGAGTTCATCCAAAAGAACCTCATGTTGTAAAAATAGTTCAGGCCAGAGAGCAATCCTTTGTCGCCAAAAGGGCTATCCCTGACCTCAAGCTTCTGCAACCTAGTGCACCCCTCAAACACGTGTTGAAGAGACATGTCACTATTCCCGGCAAAGGCAACAGACAGAGTCTTTATGAGTTTTCCGTGTCTTCCAATGTATGCAAACGCCTTATCAGTGAGCAGGCCAGAGACTGAAAGTCTGGTGAGCTTCTTGCAGTTCATCACAATCGCCCCAAAACCCTCATCCATGGGCGCCCCGGTAATCCGATCAGGGCGGTGGCGGCCCATAATACAGAGGCGGAACACCAAAAGGTCAGGGCAGTTCTCGGACATAGCAATTACTGCTGCATTTGTCATGCGCTGGCAAAAGTAGAGAATTGATTCGAGCTTTCGGCAGCCTTCTGAGATTGCCTGGAGACCAATATCTGAGACTGAGCCCTCAGAATCCTCGGTGGCATCCAAAGGAAAAACACGTAACTCACGGAGATTTGAGCATGTTTCAGCCACAGCCCTAAGGCCTTCATCACCCACAGTATCAAGAACCTACAATAAGAAATTGGAACACCAACACCTGATGTCAAAGTACATAAACCAATATATCTATCAATGTGGCGGCAAAAAAAATCACAAAATACTTACCCATAAAGTGCGAAGATTGACGCAGTGGCGAATAACTGGTATGAACTCTTCAGCAGTTAGACCCGCAAAGCTAAAATTGAGGGAAGTGAGATTGGCACAAACTTGGTAGATTGCTGGGAGGTATGCTGCATTGGCATCCAAGAAACCTGACAAACAAACAAGTGATCTGGACACTGCGAAAGAGGTAGCAAGCTCAGACACAGACAAAGCACCCCCAGGGCCTGGCTCAGATCGGAATGATCCAGTGCCAAGGTGAGTTAGATGGGGTGCCCTTGCCATGAGACGACGCAACTGCTCTATCGACACATGGTCATTAACGCGAAGACGACGCAGAGCTGGTGAGCGTGCAACAAGTGCCTCCAGGGCCTCAAAGTTGAATGGGACACTAACACAATCAAATACAAGCGACTCCAGCGACGTGTTGCACTCTGGAAACTTGGAGATCCAATCCACTACTTCACTCTCCTCCTCATGGAAATAATCTTCAGTCAGATCCAGTACTCGAAGATGCCTAAAAAAATAGATGCAACGATCCATAAGATACACACTTGAGTACTAGTATATCACAGTTTGCTAGAACTATTTGCCATAACCATAACAGAAAAACTATCAAAAGCTGAGTGCGAGTAACGGCAAAGATTCGAGTGTGACACTACCAAGTGTCACGAACTGAGTAGAGCTCAAGAACAATAAAGATCTAGCTTTGACAGAACGTGTAGGGATGAGAACCCAGCAAGGCAATAAAAGCTATTGCCTAGATCAGATTCTGATCCATGGCAAAGCGGACCAATAAAACCGAAAAAAGCATAAAGGAGTAGGCGTGCACATTAAATAAAGTGGGAATGGCATGATGCAGCTGAGAAGTGAACAAATGCGCCAATGACAGTATGATACTGTCCCAGCCCGTAAAGCTGATACGTTGATACGCAAAGACGAGAAAGGGAACCGTACCGGCAGCCCTCGGCGATGACGGCGAGGCCGCGCGTGGTGAAGCCGTCGCAGCAGACGAGCGAGAGCTCCTTGAAGAGCGGGAAGGACCTTGGGATGAGCGCGAGCTCGTCGTCGGAGACGGTCATCCGCTTGAGGCAGATGCGCTCGAGGCGCGGATAGGCGGGGCCGAGCGCGGCGACCCAGGGGGAGACGTTGGCGCCCCAGCCGTGCGGCACGAGGCTGAAGTCGGCGAAGCGGGGCTTCCCCTTGAGCACGACGGCCCGCACGCCCCCGAAGCGCTCGACGGCGCGGCGCGGCGAGACGGCGTAGCAGTTGCCGATGAAGAGCTCGCGGCGGGTCTGCGCCTCGGCGCGGTACCAGGAGCGGCAGACGAGCGAGGCCGCGTTGCGGTCGCGCGCCGCCGTGAGGAACTCGAGCACGCTCTCCAGCACGTTCTCCAGCACCTGGTCCGGCGGCGCCCACCTCCCGCCGTTGCTGCAGCCCCTCAGATCCGGCGCCCACCTGTCGCCCCCTCCCGGCCCGCCGCTGCCGGAGGAGTCGTCGCCGTCGTCCTCCGACATCTGCGATGGCGGCGAATCCGTGTCCTCCGCCGCATCGCGCATGCCGGCGGGGGCTAGGGTTACGGCGGGCTGGGGGATCGGAGCGGGGGAGGGGGAGGAGGGGGGAGCGCTCATGTGACGAGGCGCTGGAGGTGAAAAGGATTAAATAATGATTAGATCTGAGGAGCGAGCGAGGTGGACTGAGCGAAGCAATGCCCGTCCTTTTTATTCCTCTCGCTCTCGCTCTCTCTCCTCTCGCCGGTGAAAGTTTGGATTTTTGGAGATGGATGGATGGTGAGCGATGCGTCCGGACGACAGTGCCCGGAGACGACCGGGAAAGCACGGAAGAGGACGGGTATGTACGTACGAATTTACGTTGCGGCACAGAGAGATTGATGATAATGGAAGTGAAGAAACATGGTAGGTGGCTAAGGAGCGCCGCTGCGCTCGTTTGTTGTCTGGAGCGCATCGCCGTATACAGTAAGTGCATGTCCTTTTGTCCTGCTGTCTACGCTAGAAAAGAAAATTGAACGGCCACACCCCCATAGCGCATATGGGTGCCGATTGAATCAGCCTAAATTCTATCCCTAAGTGCATTTATTTGAGGTTTAGAAAGTTGTAAAAGGCATAACTTTCGATTCAAGCATCAAAATTCAGTTCCGCTTTCACCTTAGATTTCTGACGACGAATTCTTCAAAACTAGATCTCGTATGAATACATTTCATCAAACTTTTTTAGGACAACTTTGGTTGCAATTGAGGCAACTATAATGCTATAGGGAAGCAACTTCTTCTTTTTTGCCTAGAACGAAAAAAATCACACAGAACATAAAGCATCTTTAGTGCTACATACAAAGCAACTTCACTGCACTATGTGTATCAATTTGGTAACATTATCCCAACTTGTCTATCATGGTTGCTCAAATTGCCTATTGTTGATGCTTAGTTGCCTACGGTTGCCTAGTTGCCTACTATTGGTAATTAGTTGCCTACAATTGCTTCTCAGTTGCCTAACTTTGCAAAATAGTTGCCTACAATATTATGAAGTTCTTTATCATTGTTTTTCTAAGTTGCCTACAAACACTCTGAAGTGGCCAAGATTCACCATCGTGTTGTCTACCATAACTAGCAATAGCTAACGCAAGAGCATAATCGGTAGACGACATCATGGTATTATAGGTCATTTAAAAGCAATGGCGAGCAATAACAATAAGCAACTTAGAAGTATCGGTGAGGAAGTTAGGAGAATATTACATAAAATTAACTAGGACACAAAATGTAGTGAAGTTGCTTGCTTTTAGCACTAAGGTTGCCTCTTATCCAAGGAAAGTTGCTTACGAAGGTGATGTGATATTATCCACCTCTGTTTAAGTTGTTCTATATTATTAGTTAGTTGCTTATTGTTGCTAATTAGTTATTTTTAGGAGTGAAGTTACTTCTGTTTAGTATTAAAGTTGCCTCATCCAGCGCCACAGTTGCTTTCGAAAGAAAAAAATAAAAGAAACATATCCATATGGGGTTTAGTTTTGACCTAACTAGCCAACTCATGTGTGTTTTGCATCATTATATCTGAAGACGTTAATGATTTTCACAGATTACTTGACCAAAATTTAAGGACTTGCATAGGTTTATGGGCAATTGTCTAATCCGTCCCCTTGTCATTACCCCCTATGCAACTTCTCATCTAACACTCGCGACCTGGCTAGCCCACAAGTGCACGCTCAGTAGTGTTAACAACTTAGGTCCAAAGTCGCCTATATATGAAACTAAGTTGTATGCAACTAAGGATGATGTTAAGCTACTAGCTAGTCATGGTAGCCACCTTAGGGTACTATTAGCATACCTTGAAAACTAAGTTGCCTACAATATTATGAACTTAGCGATGAAGCTAGTTATGATAGACTACTTGCTAGTTATGGTAGGAAGATTAAAGGGTGAAGGTATTTAGCTTGGTAGTCATGGTAGTCAACTTCAAAGGGATTTTCGTTGATATGCGATCATACTACGGATACTAATAAGAAGTTGCTTTTTATAGCACTAAAGTTGCCTGTGCAGCATTCAAAGTTGCTTTAATTTTTTTATCGAAACGTACCAATATGGGATCTAGTTTTTAAGAACTCATCCCGAGAAACACAATGGTGAAAACAGAATTGAAATTCGACGCTTGAGTCAAAAGTTAAGGATTTTAGAAAATTTTGAAGCTTCAAATCAATGCATGCACGTGGGATCTTATTGAATAGCGGGGTAGAGGGGAACGTGAAGACGTGAGGGGACCAACCGACGGGTACTTTTTCTATTTAGTCAGGTATCATCTTTTGAAATGCATGGGACTAGTAGCAATGCAATCGCATTAAGAAAACTGGGATCGGACGGCTTAGATGCGAGGGCTCGCTACAACCAAATAGTGCAGCTGCACTTACAAGTATTTAGGAAGAAACATGGCATGCTCCGAGTGCGGCCGATTATATGATGCGTCAGGGTTTTTGTTTTGGAAATATTGGTGTAGTTCCACAAGTTTAGTCTTTTCCAGTAACTTTCCCGATGTGGTAGCTTGTTGGAACAGGTTTAACCAGTTAGTTTCGAGTAGAAAAATATTCTATAAAAGCATCTGCAGCCGGACCTCTCAAACCCACTTTCCCCTCTCTACGCCCGACGGACGACCTAGTAACTGGTCATAAAAATGCGACCCGACCGCACCTCTCAAACCAGCCCCATACGTTTGGGTTGTTCGACGCCCCACAAACTCAGCCCATCTGGGGCGGATATCAGAAGGCCCGGAGCCCCGGAAGCATTCGGCGCACCAGATCCAACAGACCAGACCGACCCTGAAGTAGCATAACGTTGTGGAGGAGCAACTCCATCTTGCTGCTACAATGTGCAGAGCACAAGTGTTGAAGGAACAATTTCAACGTGTTGCGCTAGATCACTCCAGAGGCGAAGATAGTGCTGATATGGCAGCGGGAGTTCAATCCAAAACTCATAGAACTCTACATCTAGTCCAAGATATTAGATAAAAATACCAAGTTCTATTATAAGTAGTGGGGGTACGTAGTCTGGGTACAAACTAGAGGTGAGTGCCTCTATTTATAGGGCTCTAGAAAGCCTTCACATACTTCTACTTATGGTTAGAATGCTCCAGAAAACATTGCTTAAGATTCACCTTTCTACTCATAGCTAGAATACTATAGAAAACTGTAGCTAGGGTTGAGAAAAGAAAAGAAATACTCCCTCTGTAAAGAAATATAAGAGAGTTTAGATCACTTTTTAGTGATCTAAATGCTCTTATATTTCTTTATGGAGGGAGTACTAGACTACAATAGAAGTCTCTAGAAGTAGCTAAACAGATTTGACATATGATTATATTTTTATTTTCCTCATCTATTGTACCTCATTATTCTCCCTGGTTGTTTGGAAATCGACCTCGAGCTATCTTCATAGAGCGCTTCTTCTGGATGGTAGAGAGTCAAGTCCGCGACATTAAGGGGTTGTTTGGTTCCTAGCCACACCTTGCCACACTTTGCCACACCTAACCTTAGGCAAGTTTGACCAAGTTAGGTAGGTGTTTGGTTCTAGCCTGTAACGCCCTGAGACTGACGCTCCAGAAGACTCCCAGCTATTCCGAGTTTTGCCGTGTGATTTATTTTTGTTTGTCGCATTTCATCATGTCATCTCTTGCATTGCATCATGTCATCACACCATTAATTTCTCAAACCAACTAAAACTAAATAAATTGCATAGATCGTTGATCTATTTAAATCGAGGGATATTCACATGGTGATTTCTCTTTAAAACATATTCAAAGTCTCCTACTATTTTTAGGGAGCTATAATAAAATTATTCCATTTATTTGGAATTAACCATAACCCACTTGCAAATTATCTCAATGCCTTTGTTATCTTAATTCTTGGTCTCCAACCTTGCCCATAATTTCTTTCATCATTTTCCGGAGCTCTACCAAAATTCTCAACATTTTGGATACTCCTAAAAAACCTCGTCCTAGTTCAAACCCATTTGAATTAAATTCAAATGAGTTTGAATTATTATCGTT